CTCCATGTCTCTCTGGAATACATTTCTCTCTTGAACAGTTTTATGCACGTGAGAATTTTCTTTGTCGTGCCTGGGGGAAGATAGGGGAGAACTGGATGTCCAGCAATGCCACTGTTGACACTGCAGAGGGGTGATTACTTTCAGGCTGTTCCCAGTGAGAGAGGATTCAAACTAAGGGCTGGAAAATTTCACAAATAACTTCATTTTTTTGCACAGTGGGAGCAAAGAAATTACCATGTCTGTTCAAGTAAGAAAATCCAGTGTGCCCAGTGAGTGGCAGATGATGGCTATTTTTATAATAGACACACGTAATAGTCTCACAGCCATTTCTAAGAGCAAATTCAGAAGCGAGGGGAAACAGCAGCCAATATGTTGCAAAACCTGGTGTCTGTTCTCAGGGCTTCTCTATCATCTGTAGTATTTTTATTTGAAATAAGAGTGTCATGTCCCCCCCACACTTTTTTTTACAATGGTCAAGAATCAGTCAGAAAAGAAGTTGGCTTTCTAATGACACACTGTTCTCTAAGCACGAGGCTTCCTGTCTTATATTCTCCCAGAAATACATTTCACAGCTAAGGTAACATTCAATCCACCAACCAAATGTTCTGCAGATCTCAAAAAAATTACCAGAGCTTCCAAAATTTTTTGCACAGCTTTCTGACACAGAAGTCACTTGTTTTGCTAGTAGAGACTTATAACGATGCGGCATTTATAAATAGTTGATAAAATGCTGATGGATAAGCACGATATGCCTATCAGCAACTATCACTGGTGCGAGAACACCAGTCAAGGATGTTTTATCAGTTGTTGTAAGCAGCCCTTTGACCTTTGGGGCCCTGTAAGAATTGCCTCATCAATTATTAATCCTGTAATAAGTTACTTCTATAAGTAATTTTAAGATAAAGCCTGACCTTTTTTTCCTTCGTGTAGCTCAAGCAGACAATTCCAGAACAGGAAATAAACCCCTCCTGAAGTCAGTTGGGAGCCTTTTTATTGATTTTAAGGAGGCTCAAAGCACACACACCTGTAGCACTTCTTGAGTGTATTTTCCATAATGCCATTTGATTGCAACTTTTGGAGGGAACAGGTGGGCCTGATTTGGAACAGTTGGAAGGTCAAGAACTCCTAGACCCAATGCCAAATTTGCTAAAGAAACTCCATCACAACACTGGGAAGTGTCTACATGTTTAAAAAGGCAGCAGGAGAAAGTGTATAAGATGAGAAGGTTACTGGGACCCCATATGTGTTCAAGCAGAGACAAGGCAAGGATTTTCTGAAAAATCTCTGAAAATAGCCAATGCATTAAATGTGAACATGTAAAAACATTTATGGGAATTTTTATATGAAGAATCTTAGTGATCATTCAAAAGAGTAAAACTTCAAAATTAAAAAAAAAAAATCCTGTTTCTTATTTCCCCAGGCCAAGTGAGAAGCATGCTTTCTATGCTGACCTGGTTGATAAGGGCTCAGTTCCCAGCTCCACCATTTCACTTCTTTTTGCTTCTGTTTCCCAAGCACAAGAACAGAGCTCATCAGAGTTTGGCCCAGACTTTGGAAATCTATTTTATCACTGCTCTTTTCAATACAGCGAGTACCTCATTCCATTTTCAGGAGACACTTCAGCACCAAATAGACTAATTACCTTTACTGCCTGCCCATGAGGCTTCACCTCTTAAATGCCTACTTCATTTTTGGCCCAAAAATGGGGAAAAAATCATGCATAATTCTCAGCTGGGTGAAAGATGCTGAGGACCACTTGCTGCTGTTTGACAGGATGTGGCAGGATCCTTCTGTGTGTTATAAGACAGCTCTGTAGTAAGAAAGATTACATGTTTAAATAACCCTGGGGCACTTGCCCACATCATGGTCGATGTCTCCAGGGAATAAGTTCCTCTTCAAAGCAGGTGCAGATCTTACCACTGCTCCTCAATGAAGTGGTTCAGCATCAGCCCTCCCCTGTTTCTAACATAAGCATTGATTCAAGAATGCAGGAGCTGTGGCAGCCTCAGACACAGAAATCTGACTCATCCCAGCTGCACTCTGTGCATGTAGGTCACACGAAATGCCATCCACTAGAATGCACAATGCAGCACATTAACTTCAAGGGCCATGCTGCTCTTCATGCACTGCCTGGGGAGGAGACAAAGTAAACTGGTTCATAATAAGCTTTAATTAAACAGAAACCTAGACATTGCCCTGCTTTTCCAAACACCAGGAAGAGTGAGTCATATTTCCTCCAGGCAAGTGACTATTTTCCACACCAAGCACATATAAGGTGTCCCCAGAGCTTGTTATCCCAGAATTTCACTTTCTTTTCGCACAGTCTGTGCTCAGCCCTTACAGGGGCAAGGTCAGACCTTACAAAGGCCTGAGCACAGCTAAGCAAAGCTATGGTTTTAGCTCAGCTGGGGGACGTTTCTCACTAGTCTCTGACCCACTTTGGGATTTAAACAGGTGAAAACATAAGGAAAAAAATTCCATAGGCCCTGGGCCAAATTCAGCCCCAGGACAACCAGTGATGACGTGTTTGACTGGTAAGTGGTTGGGCTTTGCCATGTGGCTTCAGTGGAGTCACTTTAAACTTAATCCAGTGCTCCTGAGCTGAATTTGACCCAGAGATGTTTAATGATGTATCCCAAACTGCGTGCCAGAGCCATCAACAGAGGCAGGAATTTGAGACAGACTTTTTCTTGTGCAACCCCAGAGCTGCCTTCAGCCCTCCAGAGCTGGTGACCCTCGTGTGCCAAACTCAAGAGCCTGATCCCACTGAACAAAAATGTCACTTGGGGTACCTGAACTGCCTGCCTGGATTTATCTCTGGATTTATTGGCAGGAATAAAAGCTTCTCTAATAGCAGGAGTGTGACAGGTGTCCAAAAAAACCCCAAAATCTGAGATTTACTTGCAGAATAAAAACAGATCGATGCTGAGTGAAAATTACTTTGCCCTGCAAAAGCAGTTCCAAAATAACCAACAGCAACTATGGCTCTGGCAACAATTGACAGCAGATTTAGAATAACATGGGTCACTCAGGACAAACTGGAGATAATGCTCTGGCCTTGTCAGAGAAACAAGTCTCCAAACAAAAGGACCAATGTTTCAGGCTCTCTGGATGTGCTGAATGAGGTGTAACATCCTCATCCGGTTTACCAGTGCTGAAATTACCTATTTGGATTTTATAAAGGCTTGATTAATCCAACATCCCCTGGAGCAGAAAAACTAATATCGCTAAATATTTCAAGCCTTGATCCTCATGTCTGTATGACAAGAAGGAGAAGGTGAGCCCCATTATTCCAGAACATGGTGCATTTACCACTGCCAACTTGATATCTCAAAACCAGCAAGTGTTTGAAATGCACTGTGTGAAATATCTGGAAATGTATGGTCAAGCTGCCATTGCCATTCTCTAACAGGGCAAGAGTATATTGGAAATGTTTTTAGAAACTTACATTCCTACCCCGAAGTTTATAAAATTATTGGTTGGGTTATAAAAACACCTTTCGCTGAATGCTTTCTCCAAAAGTTCTCCCAGACTCCAACTGTACTGAGCTCAGATGATTTTCTGAAAGGAATGTGTTTTATTTATTTGGAAAGGTTAGTTCTGTTTAGCACTTTTCCAAACACTTGTTCAGTCTCCCCTCAATTCGGCATGGAATTCTGCATCCACACCATCCTTTAGCAAGGAGCCCCAGGAAGTTATACCCCCGCTGTCAGGAAATAACTCCCCCTTCTGCATGTTCTGAATCTTGTTCCTTCAACTGATGCTCCCTTCCAAGTTCTTCCACTAGAAGATGAACAGACAATCCCTACTGACCCTCTCCATGTCATGCACTCTATCAAATCTGCCCACACATTTGATACCCATTCCACTGCATGTAATGTAGCTTAAAATTGTGAAAATACAGGAAATTACATTATGCTAATTACCATTTAAAAAACCCTCACATTGTTTATTTCAACGTTATTCCTTGAGAGTAGTTTTCAATAAACAACTCTACTTTTTCTCCACTGTCCTAAAGATATTGAGTAAAAAAATTATAAAAATATACTCGGAGCTCTACACTGAAAAATGAGGGGAAAATAAGGGAGAATACCAATCCTTTGAGCCAGCCTTTGTTGGTACAGCTTACGCATGCATTTCAAGTCAGAAATCCTGAAACAACAGAAATCCATACCCCAAACAAATTTCTTGGTCAGTTCACAGGCAGAAAGTTTGTCAGGACTGAAATGATATCTTCCTTCCTTAACCGTACAGCATAATATAATTTATGGAGCTGTTATACTTCTGTCATGAAAATGCGTGTGAGGGACGACTGACTGAGGTTGGAGGGGGGTGGTTACCATTCTGACCTGTTTAATAAAGCGTTTGTGGCAGAGAACATAGGGAATGAGAAAGGTTCTCAATTTTAAACAGGGGGGACCAGGCGGTCTGAGTTTCCAGTATCCACATGGGAATTAAAAAAATTTAAAAAAAAAAATAAAAAAAAAAATAAAAATAAAAAAAGAACATGAGTTCCCAGAGGAAGCTGATTAAATATTCCCTCCACCTCTTCGCCTTGTTTCTTTCAATCGGCGGGGTCCCATGGCGACCGCGGTGGGGGAGAAGCATCCTCTTCAGCCGCCGCTCCTCGCCATGGCAACCGGCACGTCAGCCGAGCCCCGCGGCAGGCCGGGGGCCGGCCCAGCCCCCGGGGGCCGTGCGGGGCACACAGGGGCACACAGGGGGCACACAGGGGGTGCCCTCCCCGGGGCGCTGTCCGCGGTGCTGCGGGGTCCCGCCCCGCACCCACCCGACGGGGCGGGAGGAGCGGGGTCCTGGTGCGGGGGGACACAGACACATGATCGGCATCCCGCATGACACGGAAAGGCACCCAGCAGCAACCAAACCGCGGAACGTCATCTTTTCCTCCCTTAAAGAAGAGGGGTAGAACGCCCCATCCGTCCGTCCATCCATCCATCCATCCATCCATCCATCCATCCATCCATCCATCCCCTTCCAGCCGCTTTGCAAACGTCCGGGCAGGGACAGCCACGGCCGTGACGGTGCCCCCGCGGTTTCCAGGATGGCTGGGACCTCTCCGGAGGTTCCTTCACTCGGGATAACAGGCAGAGCACGGAGGAGACCAGCGCCCCTGGGACTATGCTTTGGAGCAGGTATGTGGATGGATAGGTGCTGTGCTGAACGCTGCTGGAGCTGAAGGGATAGCTCTCCCCGTGGAGACGATCGAGATGGTCTTTTCCAGTAATTTGTCTTATGCATATTTACTTACATTCGTATAAAACCCTTGGGGGTTTGGCAAGGAGGACATTCCTCAGGACAAAATGCTCTGTTGGGGCTTGAATTTTAAGCTTATTCTGCTGAAAGCAGAGAGATGGGTAGCATTACTGCAGAATGACTCCCTGTATTTTCTGCACAAATCTGCATTCTCTGTATCTATATTCATTATTTTTCAGTTATGCTACTTACCCGTTTAAAACAATCACCTGGCACCATCAGTTCAATGGAAGCAGAAAATTACTTTTACGGTAATGGAGCAAACCAATCTGTTCACCTGTTTGTTTTTTTTTTTCTGTCTCCAGAGACATTCAAACAGCTTCTTCTTTCCTCTAAAACAGCTGCTTTTGTATTTTGCAGCCATTAATTTGAAGTCATCCTTTCTGAAAACGTTGTTTCCCTTTTCCTGTGTGGGTGCCTGGATGCAGCTACTTGGGGAAACACCACAGGCACAGCAATCCTCGCTGATCTGTAGCCAGCACAGGAAAGAGGGCTGTTCTGCTTCTGCTAATTCAGACACATATTCTCTGAGAATCCACAGCAATATTTCTCCTTTATCCAGCTGGCTTCCAGCACGTCAAACAGCATGTTGGCTCCACAGAGTCATGGAGAAGTAAAGCTGCCTTCTGCTTTCAAAAGGCCATTTGTGTGCATGAGGCGGGATGCATGGCCAGTTCTTTCTGGCAAAGGTTTTTAAAATGTGGCTCTTGAAGATTTGTTGGTAAAGTCGCTCTTAATCACTTAAACAAGTGGCTTGGTTTGCAGAAAAGCTGGTTGCCAATTCAGAGGCATCCTTAAAAGCTAATCTGTATCTGGGTGTCTAAATATGGATTTTTTGGAAACTTGATTTATGAGTAAGCTTGGTTTATGATTTATTTTAAGCGTGCTGGTCTCAGATGAGTCAGTCAAGGGAGGAATTTCTACACCTTTTAGACACATTTGGGGAGCTCTGCTCCTTATCTTGAAGTGAGAGCTTGCAGACTCTTGCTCCCCCGCAGTTCTCCTGTGAAGCCTCTGTTTGCAGAGCTGTGCAGGGCAAACCACCCCTGGTGAGCACTGCGTTCCTCACACCTCACAGAAGAGCGTGCTGTGTTGTAGGCAGGGCCTGGTGTTGCCAAAAATTAGTGCAAGCGTGTGGGAGAGAGCATCTATTTTTTTACCTCTGAATCAGGAAGCCACATCCAAGCCTAGCCATGTCCAAGGACAAACCCAATCCCCATTAAGGAGGACTAGAAGCCTCCAAAGTTTTATTTCAGGGAAGGGTGGTGAAATTAAGGTACACCACTGAGAGTTCTCCTGTGTTGCTTAAGGTGGGCTTTTCACACAGAGCTGTTGAAAAGAACCTTTTCTCTCCTCTCTTTCTGCAGCCTGAGCAAAAGACGTGGCCGAGTTTGCCCTAAGCATGGATAACAGCAGCGGTCCTTTTCTTCTCCCCACTTTACTGCTCCTACTGCAGAACATGAGCAACCCTGAATCCTCCATCCCTCCTGCTGGCTATGAGGTGACAGAATCTCCACTCACAGGACCCGGCTCAAGCAGGAACCACACTCTCTTGGACTATGGACTGAGGCCGGGGGAGATGGCAGCGGCCGGCATCGTCTGGGGAGTGCTGTGGCTGGTTTCCGTCTTGGGAAACTTCCTTGTCTGCTTAGTGATCCACAGGAGCAGGAGGACACAATCCACCACCAACTACTTTGTGGTCTCCATGGCTTGTGCAGACCTGCTCACCAGTGTTGTGAGCGCGCCCTTCCTGCTGCTCCAGCTGACCTACGGCAGGTGGATGCTGGGGAACGGGATGTGCAAGCTGGTGAGGTACATCCAGTACCTCACCCCGGGGGTCCAGATCTACGTGCTCTTCTCCATAGGGGTGGATCGGTTCTACACCATTGTCTATCCCCTGAGCTTCAAGGTGTCCAGGGAGAAGGCCAAGAAAATGATTCTGGCCTCTTGGCTCTGCGGTGCTCTCTTTGCATCACCAGCTTGTTTTCTCTACGGCTCCAACAGCGATCACCACTGCAGCTTTTTTCTGCCCAGTTCTTGGCAAGGAGCTGTCTACAGCATCACCCACCTCTCGGTGGTGTTTCTGATCCCATCCCTCCTCATTATCCTCTTTTACAAGAAAGTAATTAAGTACATTTGGAGAATAGGCACAGATGGAATGACTGTCAGGAGGACAACGAATACCGTCCCAAGAACAAAAGTGAAAACCATCAAGATGTTCTTAATGTTAAACTCGGTGTTTCTCCTGTCCTGTCTCCCTTTCTACGTGGTACAGCTGTGGCACCCACGGGAAACAGACTACAGAAAGAGCTCCTTGGTTTTCCTGGCTGTCACCTGGATCTTTTTTAGTTCCTCAGCCTCCAAGCCAACCCTCTACTCCATCTATAATGCAAACTTCAGAAGGGGGATGAAAGAAACTTTTTGTATGTCTGCCATGAAGTGCTACAGAAGCAACGCATACACCATCACCACCAGCTCCAGGATAGCCAAAAAAAATCATGTTGGCATTGCAGATATTCCAGCGACGGCCAAAAGTGTCACCAAAGACTCCACCTATGATGCTTTTAACAGGGAAGCCAAGGAAAGAAAGCTTGCCTGGCCTATTCCATCCAATCCCCCAAACACATTTGTCTAATAGACTTCATTGCTTTGAAAAGTTACCATGTACCCCCAGAAGAAGGAGTCTTCTCTCCCTTTTGAACCAATGTATAGTTACATATTTTTAACACAGGTTTTAAGGGGGGGGGGAGAGATGTTTTATTTTATTAAATGCTTTGGGTTTGATGTATTTGTTCTATTTCATTTCAGTTATCATGTTCTGCTTTGGGGAACTCCTCTCCTGGAACCAGGAGCAATGCTATTCTACAAAACAAGAGGCCTTATACTCTCTATCTACCTGTAGGGGGGAAAAGGGAAAGAAAAAACACTGTTTATGTTAATCCCCACACAGTGTATAAATACCTAAATCCACCCAAAGCCATCTAGACTTCTTTCCATCATGTCCCTGTGAATACCACCACTGGCACTGCAGTCAAGAATGGCCTTTCCCAAACAGGAGCAGGAAAATGAGCTTTCCTGAGGGCATCCTCCACAGGGGGGTGTTTGAAGAGGTCCCTAACAGGTGTCCCAGAAGAGAGAACCTGCCTGGGAGCTGTGGATGCAGGTGGAGGTAACTCCCACTGCTCATTCCCTGCCAGCGCTGTCCTTCCAGCCTCCAGCAGTCACTGGTGGGAATTATTACCCTTCACAGAGCAGCTGCCAAAAAGTGGTGCCATTCAGCAAACCCAGAGCAGGTGCAGAATGACCTAGTCCCAAAGTCTGAAAGACAGGACAAACTGCCCCACTCTGCTTGCTCAGACCCCATCTGAGATGATTTCAGGAGCTTTTTGCCTGAGAATCAAGGATTTTATCTCTTTTCAGTTGAGGATCTCAAGTACTTTTTTTCCTATTCTCTATTTTCTTCTCAACTAGCTCCAAAAAAGTTAGTACATGGTGGATAGTCAGTTCCCTATCCACTTTCTCTGTGTCAGTCTTGGGTTTGTAAATCTCTGTCATGTATTCTCTCACTTATTTCTCTCCTGAATTGAGGAGTCTCATTGTATTCTGTCATTTCTTACCCAGAACAGATCAGCCTCTCCTTGGAGGACCCAAAAATCCTCAGGTCCCGGCTATCAGCAGGCATTTCACACTCAAATCGTCCCAAAAGCAGTGTGGGCACCTTGATCCCAGGTGTTAAACTAGGCAATAGAAGACAGTGTGCAGGTGTCAGCTATCCCACCACATACCCCTGTTTCAAAATTTCAAGTTCCTTGCTGTTTAAAAGAAACATCCCTTGTCACAACCTCCTCAGAGAAGCAATTATTTTTTTTCTTCTGCTTTCAGAATGTGGCACACTTGGGGTCCTGGAGCCTGGAAGTGCAGCAGTAGGAAAAGTTAATAGAACAAGAGCAGCAAGTACTACAGGGTGTAATAAGGATGCCTGAGTATCTCCCTTTTCCATCAGCAGGGAGCAGATGTATATGAGTGTTGGAGCCCCAAGCTGACATCCTCTGAAGAGTCTCTTGTGCTGGCAGTGTGGGAGTGGGGAAACCCCCCTTTGCTGAGAAATAACCCTGCACATATGGTAGAAAACTTCCTTCCTCCTCTACAACACAAAGTACGGTTGTAAGAACCCTCACTGGCCGCAGGAACACTTGCAGCATGTATTTCACAAATTCAGAAATCCCCATCAAATAAGTAATCTGATATTTCTTGTAAAGCCATTGGCAAAAAAAAATTCCCGTGAATTAGGAGATGAGAGGACCTCGAAAATGAGAAAAGACCAGCATTTTCTGTGGGGTTCACGTTCTGAGACAGTTGGTTCTCCCTGAAACATATGCTTAGTTTTTCTTTTTGCCATTTAAAATGCTGCTGCTGCCTTCAGAGCTGCTCCAGTGCTGAAAAGGAAGGGAGAGAGAGGCAGTCCATCCCCACAGCACCAGTTCCACATTGCAGACACACAGCCTGCCACGTGTCAGTTCATGCACAGAAGCCAAAGAACTCACCAGAACAGCGGGTGTGAAACCGCAGACTTTGGAGCAACTTTCCCTCTGGTGAACCTCAACCACGTTTTCCCACCTTCCAGAAGGTGTAAAACTACAGAAGGTGTCCAGGAAAAGTCCAGAACTGCCATGGCAAAACAGCTAGGGACACAATGCCCCCAGGCTGAAATGGGTGGTAGTTCTGCACTGAAATTCGATGATTAAAATAACAATTTAAAACGGCAATTCTGTCCAAGAAAACCTTGAATAGAAAAACAAAGCTGGCATACAGGTAGGAGGAGAGCTTGGAATCTTAGATTAATTATTTCATGAAAAGCCACTCAAGTTCCATCTTTCCTTGGAGGGCAGAAGAGGAGTTTGCAAAAGGGTCCAAGCTTCCAAATGTCACCTACGCACAGGACAAACAATTGCTGCCAAGCACTGGTGCCCACACTCGATTCTTTCTTGTGGCCCGATCCCTGCAAGAGAAACACTCCTAAGTCTTCCCTGACCCTTGCTATAGTAAAACCTCCAAGCAGATCTTCAAATCAAGCATGATAAAAAAAAATGGCACACATGGAAGGAATTGGCACTTAAAAGCATCGCTGACAATCCCTGAACTTCTCTCCATCCTTTCTAATTAACTTGAAATTGTGACTTCATGAAATTCTCCCTGAATTTAGGTATACACTAATAAAGACAGGGGAAAAGAAGTTTTACAGTAATAAAGACAATCATTTTAATCCATGTTAACAGGTGATAAAGTTACAGCTGGTAGGAGTAGTTCTGACAGACCAAGGCAAAGCTGTGTTAGTAACAGGCACATTTGTTTTGTTTCCGTGCCTTATTCCATACAAAGAGCATGATTCAGAAAAAAAAAAAAGCAAGGTGAATGCAAGCAATCACAAACAAGAGGCCATTCATCATTCTGCCTACGTCCTTTTACTAATACATTCACAGAACTGCAACTGTGCTCATTCCACAAGTAGTCCACGGCAGGGGGATTAAAACAGATAACCTTTGTGATTGTTCTTCAGCTGTCAGCCAGCCTTTCTTATCTGCCAGCATGTGTAGACAATATCAGCTCCATTACAGTGCCACTCATTTAGTGGCATTGGACTGAAATGATGACAACATGAAGTGGCTACTGAGAAAAAAAAAAACAACATTATGTAAATTCAAAAAACTGAAGCAGTTAATTGGCTGTTTCTCAAACACCCAGAGCAATCCTCTTCGGTTCCATTGGTTACCACTAATAAAAAATTACTATTTTATTTCAGAGGGTGAGAAATCCTAAGAACAAAGTAATGAGAAACTCACCTTGCTGAAGTGAGTGTTCACACTGGTACATCCCTGACTGAGCCATCACCTCGAGAAGGTTTACACAAATACTTGTCACAAGGGTCATCAGCTGATCAGAAAGCCAGGCAAACCTTCCTCCCCCTTTTGCTATCCAAGATCCCAGACAGGACCCCAGATTTAAATGGAAAACCAACACTGTTATTGTATTTGCTCTGATGGAACATTTTCTCCGTGATGTTCCCGAGATAAAAATCACTTTGGGCCAAAATTTTTAAAACGAATCCCCACCCCTAACTCCATGGGCTGTTTCAAGTGTGTAAACCTAAGCTCAAACTTCTCCCTTTGTTTGAAAGCACTGTCACAGCTGAAAATGCCAGGCAACCTAGAATTTTACAGAAATACAAGTAACAAAGTAATCTAAACTAAAAACATGTAATTTAAATCCCACTGTTTCAAGTGAAAGAACCTGAACCCTCATATCCTCCCCATCCCTACTTCAGTATTACTTAAACTTTAATAATAGTTTTCCTCTATCTGTGCAACATTTATAGCAATTGTTAACTAAGGGCATGCTTGGAGGGTCTAAAGAATAAACTTAAAACCGTGCCTTAAGGTACAATCTGTAAGTGCTTAGAATGGAATTCTGAAAAAAGTTGTGCTGTACACTGAAATTATTTTCAGTGCTTTCAACCCATCTTGAATTGAGGTAAGGCTAAAAAGACCCAATTAGTTCAATAAAAAGAAGGCAACGTTCAGTCTAGCAAAGTCATTCATTGTAGTATTTATTCTAGGAAACAATGAAGAAAATGTAAGATTAAAAAAATGTTTCATGCACTTCATAAAATACAGAGAAAGATGTTGCCATGAACAAAACAGAATAAGCAAGCCAAACCCCCACAGAAAATTCAGAGAGCTCCACTCTCCACTTTACATCATATGAATACAAAAAGCATACCCAGGAGAAAGAGCAGTCTGAAGAAAGTGGCAGCTTATCTGTAAATAACCAGGATGAGTAAATCAGCCCATGAGAGCTTTGCCACTACCTTTCTTATCGTAAAACTGATGCCACTTGGTCTCCTTGCTACCAGTTCTTGGCATTACCTCTGGCTGGGAAACCAGGACAACACAGCAGAACCCATTTTAAGCTGCAGACCAGGAAAGTACCGGGGCCCAGTAGCTACAGCAAGATAGCAGGGCCCAGTGGGTGAGAGGGAATGGCTGGAAGCAAGATGCAGGGACGTGCTTTGACTATCTTACCAGAAACACGGCAGGTAGAAAAGATATTCAGGGAAAGAAGTATGGGCAGAAGCACCTCTCTTTAAGAATCCTTATCACATATGCACGTGCTGCATTACAGAAGGATGCTGACAGCAACACCTTCGTTTAGGTTACAAATTACGTCGCTATAAACCTCCTTGCTGAAAGCTTTTGATGCGGTTCCTTCTCCTCCACCCACAGAGCTCCGTTGGGCTTTGGCGAAGTTGTTACAAAATCCCTCTCTTGCTTTTACTTTATGGAACCTCCCGGACTCCCACAGTGGTTAACAACTCTATGACCACCAACCCCAAACCCAGCCTAATTCTGGGCTCTGCTATAAAAGCAGCCCCCATTTCACGCTGGCAATTCCCAAAAAGCTGCCATAGCTGTAATTTGGGGAGGGTGCTGTAGTGAAAGAAAGAACAGCGCTCCACTTACACAAACACCCCCCACTCCACACAGCCTCAGGAACACCACCAAAGAGTTGCACGTGGGGAGGAGCAAAGAGAAGAGACAGTGGACTGGGATCCTTGCCCCTGCATGTGGGGATGCATCCACTCCTCAGAACAGCATTCTTCTGCCAGCTGCCAAGGAATCTCTGCTGAAGGTTCTGCACGGGCCTCCTGTGAATGATGTTATGGTTAAAAATGTGATTTTCATGCTGATTCTTTCAACCATAAAGCTAAGAATTCCTATTTAAAAAAAAAAAAATTGGTGGTGTGTAATTTAGCCTGTAGTAAGAAATATTACAAAATTAGAAGTAGTAAGATATCCAATTGCCCATGCTACATCTTAACCCTCTCCCTTTGCATGTACTTATCAGGAATATGACTTTATATCACACGATCTTTTCACCTTCATATTCCTGGAATAACCTTATTTCATTCCCTGGACAAGCACAAGTGAGTCAGAAAGCAGACTCCACAGGAAATCCCAAGCCCAGCATTTCTCTCTTCTGAGGGCTTACAGCTACAATACTGGTTTTTGGATGGAGTTTTTAAAATTCCATTATGTTTTACGTGCTCCATTCACCTGGCATTAAGAAAACAGAAAATGCTGTAAAAGATTAAGGTCCCAGGTCTTCACAGGCCTTAGTGAAACACAAAGATTGAGTTTTCTTTTAAAATAACTGCCTAGCTTCCTATCTAGTGTAGTACCTGTGTTGTCCCTGTAAACATTACACGGAGTCTTTGTGCCACCCACAAAGCTCTTCGCTTCTATCAACTATCTGTGCCCAAAAGCACATCCTTATGTTTCTTCCTACACCACAAAAGACATAAAAACCCCAGGAATTAAAAAGCATAGGCTGAATACTTACAGGGATTGCTGCTGTTTGCTTCTGCCTTCCCAGCCTTAGCAAGTTTGGTCGAGTTCTGCTGTGCCTTGCCCTGCTCCTCTCCAGTCAGCAGGGCTTTTATCTCAGAGGGGATTTTCCCCTGGTCCATCGCCATGCACCACTGCTTGTACTGAAATATGCAAACACATCAGCCATCAGCAAACTGCCAGGATCACATCAGCAGACAAAACAAGAGCTCTGATCTTTACCTTCCGCTATATTCACGTAAAGTCTGAATTTACTGAGCTGGAGCCTCTTGTGAAACTGCAGAGCCCTAATGAGCTCAGCACGTGCCCATGGCTGCATACCTGGCCTCAGCAAATCCTGCTCCAATCAATAAACTGCTGCTCAGTGGCCACACTAGACAGAATGCTGTAATTATTAAACAACGTGGAACACTCTGTGCGATTTCTTGCTGCTGACATGCGAGAATACCGTTCCAGTTCATGGCCTATTAAAACCAAATATTTCACATGACTGTGCGGCTGATGGACTATTAAGAGGTCCTTTCTGATTGTGCAAGGCACAGTTGCAGCACATGTGCCTTATTCCCAGCTCCCTCGTCTTAAGTTCTTCCCTGCCAAACCCAGAAGCACACCCAAAAAAACCTGTGGACAGCTGGCTGGCTGACTTTTCACCTGATCCTAAACCTCTTCTCTTGTGCTGATTAGCCCTGTCTACTCCAACAAACCCAAAGCCGGGGCAAGGCAACATCCTCAGCTCCAGCGACATTTCAGTAGCACCTCAACACCACTGAGGAGCTGTGTCTGATTCCCAAATGAAACATTCCCTTTGGTTAATGCCACTTATTTGGCCAAGGCACCCGTCTCACATGTGCTGGAAGACAGGACAGCTGTGCAACCACACACACAGAGGGCACGCTGCAAGGATCAACTTCTCCAATGAGAAGCAATGACATGCATGTATGTTCTCCTTTGATATATTAACACATCTCTTTCCACCATCTACCTGTTTCTACGTCTGTCAAAGGTTATTCAAAACAAACATTTCAAAAGGACAACAGGCTCAAAGGCAGTGGCACTGTCTTTGCTTGCTTCCCGTTCAAACAGCTGGATGCATCTGATGTTTCGACACCTTCTGGCGAGCCAAATGCCACTGTCAGTCACCGGGATTTTGAGGAAAAAATGCCCGTGACCAGAGGTCCCAAACGACATTGAGGATTAGGTTAAATGATCGAGAGTTTCTTACCATTTCCAGCTCTTCTCTGAGGGCGCAGATGGCTCTCTCTCTGCTCGAGACCAGCTCCTCCAGGTACTGGTACCTCAGCTTCTTCCTGGCTCTGCACTCTCTTGCGCTCTGGCGACTCCTTTCAAGCTTCGCCTTCAAATCTATTTTGGCCGGTTTCCGACCCCGCTTCCCTGGTTTCTTCACCTTGCCTCCAACCACCTGGAAAGGAAGGGCACAGTGAAGATCCCGTTCTGCAGAGGTAATGCTGTAACCACCTGATTGCAGCCACTCGGGGTCTCAAGTATAAAATCTTGCCATCCACGCCAGTGCTCAGTCGCCCTCAGAGTAAAAACACCCGAACATTTCCTAATGTGCAGATGGACCCTCCTTGTGTTGCAGTTTGTACCCACTCATGTACCACTGAAGAGAGCCTGTCTCCACCTCCTTTATACCTTTAGTACAGTATGCAGTTTAACATTTTATTTTCAAAAAAAAATATAATCAATATAATCCCAAACTCCCCAGTTTCCTGCCCTATGGAATGCAGATTTTGCAATCGTTTCCCCCTCTTCTTTGTGGCTCCTTTTTAATAGGTCTGAAAGCTTCTCTTGCTACAACTACAATAAATTTAAAAAAAAAAAAAATAATAGTTTCCTCTGTGTTTACTTTACGCTTCCCCACCCAAATATTTTACTCTTAACATGGGAGCACGGCCCAAGAAAGTTTTAAATAGTGTCTGAAGCTTACTGGTCATTGGGCACTATCACCCTGTAAGCATTACATCAGCCCCACACCCCAGCTCCCCTCTGAAGCGAGGATTTCTCTTTATTTGCATTCTGACCACACTGTTTGAATGGAGGGGGTGTGGAGAAACACACCTAATACACACACACCTGCATAGGAGAATTTCACTGCTGCTCAGTGTTTCATCAGACTGTACACAGACAGGACTTTTTCTGACAGGCAGTGTTCAAAATATAAAAAAAAAAAGGCACTTTTACTCCGTAATGCTACGAAATAAGTAATTTTCAATACTCAAATAAGCCACTTGTTCTACAAACTCATCAGGCTGTAATAAAAACAGTAACATCGTGAATTGATGTGCTAGAATGAAGAGGGGGAAAAAAAGGATTATACAACTGAGCCTACTCTTTCTTTGGAAAGTGAGACAACAGTCACATGCCAACATAATCCTACCCTCTCTGTATTGCCTCTCCTAATTTATTCAGGAGTAGCTGCCTACCATAAGCAAATGAAGGAACAGAAAGTACTTAACGGACATGATAATGAAACAAACACAATACATTCAGAAGAGCAAAGGAAAAAAAAAAAAGCTCTTTTTACACTTCAAGCTGAATGTAGCTTGAATACTCCACTCACTCCACCAGGGTGCTCTCCTTATGATTTTCTAGTTCAGAAAAAATCTAGTCTAGTTCAAAGCTATCTATTATTATTGGCACTTGGAAGATTTCTGGGTATTACATTACACACTACAATCAAAGCACTTCAGTTCTTGAAGGTTTTCAGCACCTGAGGCTTTTCTGTGCCGACGCAAGGTAGTACAAAGTACATCTCTGAATTCAAGAGCTAGATAAGGTCTTGTAGAGAGGAACACTCCAGCTCTCTTAAAAAAAACCTTTGCCACTGAGTTGTGACCCTCTAGAACTGGAGTGAGCTAGCTTTTAAGGCTGGAGCCCCAGGCAGGTGAATAGTTCCCACCACGCTGTTTCTCACACACAGCAGGTTAAAGACAGCTCAGCACACTGCAAATGCATCCTGGATCCACCACTGCCAATAAACTGCTTTCCCTTTAGTCACTCCAGAGAGCTTTCTACAGACAGGTGTACTGATTGCTCCCCCTCCAAGATCTTTCACCGCTGCAGCAATCCTGCACACAATCCTCGTACCTCTTGGGTTTTTGACCGACCCCAATAATCTCACTTCACACCATCCCTAAAGAACTCCTGTTGTCCTTACAGCTCCTGGACTTCACCATATAATTTTAATTAGGCATCAAGCTGTGAAGTTGGTTTGGTAAGCCATTTCATCAAATCCCGCATCATCATCACTTTTCCCTCACCAGTATTTAAAAGCTCCTGCTGTAACCTTAAGCAACCCAGCTAGGACAAAAAAAAAGGCCTGGGAAATCCTTTGTCCCCATCCAACATCACCATATCCCCCTGGCTCCCAAGTTATGTTTGCCTACTCAGCTGCTATGCTGATGTGACAGAGAGAAGACAAAGCAGAAGTGATGGTTGATGCTGAACGCGGCAACAGGCCAAGAAACAAGCAGGCACACATTTTTTTTGTCCCTTTGTGTTCCTCTGGAGTTTACAAAGGGATGTGATCTATTAGCATTCAGCAGTAGGAATTTGGGGCTTTTTTTCACGGAGTCATGAGTCATAAGCAATCAAGACCCAGGACAGCATCAATTATAAAATTTGACAGAGAAATACTAGTAATGACATGCATTATGTGACCGAGCCCCACTTCAGTTCACTCAGACTTCAGAAAACAGAAACACATAATTTTTTTCCCCCAAGGCAGGTGGTGTGATTCTTGGGGTGTCCCGTGCAGGGCCAGGAGTTGGGACTTGGACGATCCTGAAGTTTTCTGATCTTCCAGTTCAAAGCACACCACTTACAGCAGCAGCAGTACAAAACCCAGCTGGAAAGTATGCCTGTTATTCCTCCACTGCATGACATTTTATATGCTTAACACAGGTTTAACTTTCCCTAGCAGACAAAGTGCTTCCCATAACGATCCAAAAATGTGAGATGCTGTTCAGTGAGTAAAACATTCCATGTCTTAAGCAGATATAATTATGACTCAGGACAAGACAGGACTGAGTATTTGATGTTGCATCAACAGGTGCTCAATCCATAAATGTAAATGCCCCATATAAACATTTCCATTTTACACTTACATTTGCTTTCTCAAACTCGGGTAACACCTAAAACCACTCTGAGCTTACCTATTTAGAGGCTTTTTTTTTTTTTTTTTTCTCACTTCACACATTGCAAGTTTGTGGAAGTTTAGAAAAAGCCAGACTTCGAGACCAACATCCTCGCCCAAGTCCCTGGAACCTGCCTGATGAAGAGCAAACAATCTGAGCTGGAGACCTGGCTTTAAACAGCCACTGCCTCTTTTAGAAGATTAAAGGAATTTGCTTCTTCATTTAGAGGACGCAGCAATTTATTTACAAGCAAAAGAAAGCCAAAAACAAAGAGTCGATCCCTTCAAAGGTGAGAAACTGACCTGGAGCTAAAAGTGCATGAGACTGAGATCTACTCTCTCGAAAATGGACCTGTTTATTGTCAGAACTGGGTAACAAAAGGTTTTCCTAAGCCTTCCTTTGTACATCCAACACATATAAGCACATGCCTTGAACTAACAAGACATTTAAAAAAACTGTTGGGTGCATTTCATTAAATTTTCATTCCCCTTCAATAAAGTAATCAATTACTACATTCCACTGCTAACATTAAGAATGACGCACTATACATTTTTTCCTTCCCAAATCTCACTTTAAATTAAAAACAACATTTAAAATACATTTGTCTCCAAAATGCACTTTTTTTTCCTTAAAACTCGATCTAATCACTGATATTTTGGCTCAGTTCAAACAATTTTTGAAGAAAAATACATCTTTTCCGCACAAGGCAAGAATATTTGTAATAACAGAGGGCGACTCCAAGTTTCTTTGGTGGTGGTTTGGTTTCTGGTTTTGCTTGTTTTTAATTTCGCCGTAATAGCAATAGTGATACGATGTTAAAACCTTATTTCTCCTTTCTAGCTATAAACCGAAAAGTTAATTACCCTGGTAAGCACTGTCAGAGCATTCCCTATAAGAACCTTCGGTAATTAATACAAAAGACTGCAGGCTCCAAGGTGGGCCCCCGCAGGCCCTTCCTTACCTTGCTGTCATCCATGCGTGCCGCCACGACTCCGCCGTGCCGCAGCCTCAGCCCGGCGGACTGACAGACGGACAGACAGACAAACAGACAGACAGACGGACAGACGGACAGATGGACAGACGGACAGATGGACAGACAGTGGACGCTCAGGACACTCCGGGGCCGGCCGCGGCCGCCGCCATGCCCGGCCGCCCTGTTTGTTTGTTTACAGCCGCGGGGCACGCTGGGAAGTGTAGTCCATGCCGGGCCCCGCCGCCTTTGGCCGCCGCTGCTGTGGGGGCAGCCAGAACTACAACTCCCGGCAGGCCCAGCGGGGGAGTGACGCGGTGACAGCCCTGGCCTATGTAAGCGGGGGGAACTACATTTCCCAGGAGGCCCCGCGACAGATTGATTTGTTGCTTCGTTAGTGGTTTTTTTTAATTATTATTTTTTTCCTAACGCGTCGTCCCTCGGCAGCTCAGCGGCCGCCTCAGGCCGACCCTGCGCCCGGGCTCTCGGGCTCTGAGCTGTAAATTCGAACCCCAATCTTTGCCGGTCCCGCTGTGACCGCCCCCAGTGCCCCCGTGTCCCCCCCCCCGGCAACTCTGCCCTCACCAGCCCCTGGTCAGCCCACACGGCCGTGGGCTCGGCAGCTGAGCAGCTGAGTGATGGCTTGAGCGTTAGATAAACGAAAATAAAAAAAAAAAACCCAAACCACAAAACAACTTGACCCTAAAGAATCCCCAAAGACAGAACCAAGTCTCCCAAGCCACCTGGACGCTGCATGGCGTACTGAGCTCCTCGGCTACCCCAAGGCTGGAGCAGTCCCTGTAATCCTTTGAGAATACCCGGGTTCCCCTCATTTTCCTATCGACACGTGGCAGATAATGTTAATACTGAATGCTTGATGCAAAGCCAAGCCATGCCACGTCCTGTGTCTGTCCTACCCCCTCCAGGTCCCTTGAAATCGGGCTTCTGCGTGCTCGAAAGACACACGTAGCCCAGTGAACAATTTCGTTAACGTGGTCAATGTTTCGAGCTGGCAGTGAAACCTGAAGCTAGGCGTGTTTCATGTTGCTGCATGTTTCTTTTTATTCATGCAACTCCATTCACAGGAGTTTCCCATGACTTAATCTGTCTTACATGCAATTGTTAGGCCTAAAGGCTTTGTCATGGGATTTTCCCCCCTGAATCACAGACCTTCCTCTTGGAAGGATATGCTTTCTAGATGGCAGAGACAAAGCACTTTCAGGAGCTTTTTTTTTTCCTCTGTAAGCTTATATGCTTTTCAGTTGTCAAAGGCAAAGCAGTTTGCTCACTTTTTCATTTGCCTGTCCAAAAACAATGAATCAGTTCTGGCAACTCCCCTCTGAAATAATAGTAATAAAAAAAGCAGGGATGCTCAGTATGTTGAGCAGGAGGCATCAGCTAATAAAGTAGCAGGAATAGCTCACTCTGAGCTTGCCTAGGTTGTCTCCTGTGATCCCTCCCCTATCTTTGCCTTCAAATTCTTCAAGAAGGTGGTGTGGTGCCTCACACAGCCTTTGGCACTATCCTGGGGCCACAAAGCTAGCTCTAAAAGTCAGTTGAGGGGTTTCCCCGGTGAAGAGAAATATTGAGTGGCAAAGAGCCAACACAGCTCACTTAGGCAACCCTCTGTTGCAACAGGAGTGGAGGAAGGAGATCAGACAGAGCCCTGATGCTGATTCAGAAAGACCAGGATCCTTTTAACCAGCAAATTAAAGGTATGGCTGCATCTTTTCTTTCCACTAGATTATCCCACACTACTTCTGCTTTATATCCCTTATGAAGCTGACCTCTCAGCCTCAAACCAGGACGAGCACGAGTTCCCTGCCTAAGCACCTGAGAGCTTCTGTATTTTGGCACAGAACAACTCAAAATAGGCATTTCAGTCTGCTTTTCTACAGCTGTGAATGAAACTGAATATTATATAAATGCACACGTAGATAGCACGTAAGATTGTGACATTTTACACTGATTTCAACAGCTAGAAGCACCACTTGTTTACACAGCATGTAGTGAACTCCTGGAGTTTACTGCCAACACAACGCTGTAAGGCAGAGAGTACAGCAAGTTCAAAAAAGGATTAGATATGTTTATGTCTCATAAAGAGGTACCAAGGAGATGTATTCTCCATCATCCCTAATCTAACTGGGATACTGGGGATGTATGAGAGGAATGGATGTAGGAGAGAGCAGAAAAAGGCCAAGTTCACATATTCTGCCTTAAAAGTGTCTCCTCTTAAGGACCAATAGTCTGACTCAGAAGGTCTTTTTCTGTTGATGTCTAAGAGGTCACCATTTTGACCCCCGAAGACTCACAAATGATAAGATTTTTATGTTAAACTTCCTTGGTTAAAGTAAAGGCAGATGACCAACTCCTCCTCCCTAACTGCAGGTTACTGTTTTTCCCAGTAGGTGATCATTCCTAAGCGATTCTCTGTGACATCCTCATGGTTTCATTGCTAAACCACAGTGATGGACCCCGAGGAAATACTCTCTTGTATTAAACCCAGTGTCACAAATCGTCCTTATGCAATATCTATTGGCAGGTTCCTGCTGAAAAATTAGTTATATTTACTTATTAAAAGAAGTGTTGTGCTTTGAGATCCAGAGAGACTTTGAAGTATATAAACAAAGTGGGTTCAGGCAATCTGGGCAATCAGGGTATAGTTTAAACATCACTGCTTATGTCAGTGTGACTTACAAAGATTTATAACTCACAGGGTGATTTTGCACCATGTGCTCATATTTCCAGTGATGTCAATAGATCCTAGGAGGGTGTTTATTCTCTCTAGAACTGTAAATGTTTTCATTTGGGCGATTCAAAACCTGTTCCCCTGAGAGCCTGCCTGAAATAAGAATAAATCCTGCAAGGTTTTGGTATAAAGGCTCAGCATTTTCCTGAAATTACTCCACTGTACATTTATGGAGTCTTTAGAGATTCAGAGCCTTTGAGATTAGTTCATTTAGGGATATAAAGGTAAAGAATTAACGTATTTTCTTGTTTGTTTTCCAAATGTTGTGAGATGTTAATTGCTCTGATAGAGATGCTAACTCATTTGCCATGGGGCAAAGACTGCACGAACAGCTTGTCTTTCAATCCCATGGGATTTTGGAGGGTCTTTTTGTAGAACCGATAGAGAAATTGCAATTTTCTACATCCTTTAATCTGACACCCAAGAAACATTTCTGGAAATACAAGAAATTCCCTGTCTTTCCCTTGTAGAGTCTGTTGATACTGAGACAAGAACATCTTTAATTTTTCATTTATACTCATCAGTAAAAGTATTTGTCAGCAAGGAGTGACCAAAAAAATGTTTATTTACATAATATTCTAGATCTTATTGGTTTTTTATATAACTATGGTAAAACTATACCAATTTATTGGCTTGGATTTTTTTTCATTAGAGAAATCAGCTACATATTTTAAGGCTCTGGAAGACCTGGTAAACACACGAACAGCACACGCTCACAAGTACATTGATTGATCACCTCCATTGGTGATGATTAAAAGAAAATCCTATTTAAAATAAAAGCTCTTTGAAAGCTGGCTTTTAAATCTAATCAGTGTTTGAAGGAAGCACAGCACACTGGAAACCTGATCTGGGACTATTTCCTATACACTGTAAAATTAAATGTTGATAAGGGGGTTACTCTCATGTTTGCTAAATGTTCTACTTTGTGACAAGATGAGGGGCCTCCTGTAGTTGCAAATGCTTGAAGTCAGATCTACAAGGGGAATTCTTCCTGTTTAGCTATTGCAAATGTACTTCTAAAGCAAAATGGACTCAAAGTAAGATAATTTGGAATAATCAGCTTTTGTCCTGTGCATACACACACACACACAGAAAAGTTACAGCTTTATCAAGCCCAACTAACTTTCCCACATAGGCAACATCTTGAGACAGTGCTCATGAGGCTTTTATATTGCTGAAGGGATAGACCATGTGTAAATTAAAATATTGCATGAAAATGCTCAGGCTGCAGTTGGAAAGGAGCTACTTCATAATTTCTAGCTAGTAAAAGGGAGAAAAAGAAGTCAGATGATCCCTCATATGATTGCTACTTCCAAATATGATATGTGAGGAAAACCAGGAATGGTTCAAGAAGTTATTTGAAAAACATGAGTTTCATGAAAAATTTAAACTTAATATGAGAATCTGAGAACCAGGCAAACAAATCACTGCTTAAGAAGATGACAAAGAGTGGGTTCAAGTTCAATGAGGTGCACAAGTGCATAAAATTTAATCTTGTTCCGAAACAACAAACAAACAGAGCAGCACAATGCGCCACGATCAGGAATGTGAGAGCCATGTTGTATCTGGCACTCAAACAACAGAGAATTATTGCTGCTGATATGGTAATTGCAGAGGTACAGAAAAAAAGTGGGTGGATCATGTGAAATTCATGAAATACTTGAGGTGAACTTACAGCAGGATTAGTCTTTTAGTTGTGTACGTCGATCTCTACGCACAACTGGTTTACTAAAAAGGCATATTGTTCGCTCTCAAGAGGTTTCAAAATCCACTTCAGCTCGGTGTCATATTTTTTTTTTTTTGGTTCATGAGATGTTTTGCAACGTGCTCCTCCCCTCTGGCCTACGCAAACAAATATGCCTGCACAGCCATACCTATTAGAGCCAGTCAAAGTCTGATAGTTAGTAGCTGGCCATTCTGCTAAGAGCATTTCTGGTTGCTTCCCACGACACATAAAATAATTTTAAACAGCTTTGTCCAGGCCCAGATTCTGTGGCATGGGCTGTGCTCACACGCCAAACATTTACTAATCTCAGCCTGATACTGTTGTCTTGTCCAAGGGCACAAACAAGGTTTCTGCACAGCTTAGGCAAAAAATTGAAGGACTTGCATGGCGAGCTGGATCTGCACTGTAACTGGGTCAGAGGACCTTGACCACTTTCAGAAATGCCATTTCAGAAATGCCACACAAAGGGTGGGGTCATCAAATATAGCACATTTCCCTGGTCTGCACAGGTCACCCCATCTCAAGTCAGCATTCATATCAGCTAATTTCTGTTTTGCAACTGTATTTAAGAGT